GCCCCGTTTCTCTTAGCTCACATTCAAGCCAACTGTAACCGCGGCTCTAAACCTTTCTATTTCGGTGGCATCATCACATCCATCGCCATAGGCCTCGGTCTTGGCGACCGCCTCCAGACACTCCGCCAGATGCCCCCCGTATTCCTGGACACCGACCACTACCGCGCCTCCCACCTCATCAAGGCCCTCCGTGATGGGAGATATCATCCTGTAGTGCGAGGCCGCACTATCCAGAGCATCATCATGCCTTCACGCACCCGGATGAATCCAGAGGACAGAGCCAACTGGCTCTTCGACACCACTACCCCTGCTCTCCCAACACAGGATAATAGCCAAGAGCCCAGGGACGAAGTTCAAGAGGAGCTAGACAGAGCCGACCAGCCTAAGCCATCACAACCTGCTGCTGCCGCAGGCCCTTCCACGCGCCGCCGCCCCCGTCCTGCTACTGATGACACATCCGCGGCCCTCCTCCGCTGCATCGAGCAACAGAACCAGATGATGCTTATGATGGAGCAGTAGAACCGAAGGGCTGAGGAATTTGAAGCATGGTAGAGAGAGCAAACCAGCCAAATTCAGCAATCTTTGCAGATGATGCACAATATCCATTCCGGCATGGCCGATGAGATGGCACACCTCACTGTGCGAGTCGACGGCCTCCGTGATTACATATTCCACACCGGAGCTCTGAACCTCGCCGCCCGAGATGCCCCTGCCAAAGGTCGAGGAAGAGATCGAGGACGAGGACGGGAATAGTAGTATTTTTCATTTTTGCCATTTTTGTTGTTTTTTCTTTATTTCCTTTGTATTCCTCCCTTCCGCGTTCTTTCAAATCAGTGAGGACACTGATTGAGATAGTGTGGGAGCGGATCGTTATTTCCCTTTTCATTTCCCTTTCTCATGTTATTTCCCATTGTACTTTTTCTTTCGAATTCTCAATTTAAAGTAATTTTAATTTTTGGCAAATAAGCTCTTATATATATATATATATATATATATATATATATATATATATATATATATATATATATATATATATATATATATATATATATATATATATATATATATATATATATATATATATATATATATATATATATATATATATATATATATATATATATATATATATATATATATATATATATATATATATATATATATATATATATATATATATATATATATATATATATATATATATATATATATCTCCGTTACGTGAACTCCCCGCGCTTCATATAACCATATACAAAGAAATTTCTAAACTCCTTGCCTCAAAGCATCACGAGGACACGAAGAATCGAAATAGAAAAGAGATCATAGCCACTAACAGGTTGACTTGCCATGAAAGTATATGGATAACGGGCTTAATGTGACTGCGCCAGAACAAACTGGGTAAAACTTGTTGCAAGGAACTTGACGCCAAGCTGCAGTAGCATGATTGGAACTGCCTTGCATAAAAGGGAGGCCTTCGAAGACTTATAACTCAGTGTCACCACCGTATGTGTTTTGTTTCAATTTAAGTCTTGGCCTTCCTAACTTATGATTTGAAAAACCTTTCGGAAAGGAGAAGCGTGCCGCGTGTTTGCCACATTTTTAACTTTTTCCAACTTTTACTTGAGGACAAGTAAAGATTCAAGTTTAGGGGAGTTTGATAACGCGAAATTGTATATATAAAATGACATGTGTTTTAACTAATATTTGACTGGTTCCACTCCGAATTCGGGGCATTCCATGCTATTTATCTAAGTATTATGCAGGTATTCAAAGAACATGTCCAAGCAAAGCAATATGAAGAAAAGGAGCAAAAACAGGTGAAAAACAAATGAAAAACCAAGAGAAAAACAGCAGATACGAGTTTTACTGATGTGACGACCGTCACATGGCCGTTACGCTCGTCATGCGTGTGACGACCGTCACACCTCCATGACGACCGTCATGCATCCAGAACGTGCAGAATGAAGTCACGTGCTAAAATTCCCCCTCAAAGACCAAAAGTGTAACCACTAACTCCTACTTTTCTGCCTCAAACCCACTTCCTGAAGGAATAACCATTAGATACTCTCTCTCTATAAAAGGAAGATGTGGGGACCTGAAAAAGGGAGCCGCATTCAAGACAACGAAGTGCTGCCAATTTATCTTCAGAGCAACCTTACCGTTCTTATATTCTTATTTGTTTCTCTTTTCCTTCTCGGTATTCTTTGGTATTTTTTACTTTCCATTTTTCTTGTACGATCAATTGGCACAAAGACCAGAATCCTGCCAACATTGTGGAGGATCTGCCCAAAAGCCAATTGGGATATTCACAGGTTTTTATTTTAATCGTAATTGCAAATTTTCATTATGATATATGTTCTTAATTACTGCTCTTATTTATGCATTATCATTTCCTTTTCCATGTCTAGCTAAATTACCGTAATCGATATGTAATAATAATTCGGATGGGATTTGATAATAATTGGCGTAATCTATCTCTTTTCAAAACTCAGTTATGGTTTTAGTTTTTAATTAAAATTTCTAAGTAAACGTTCGTCGCGACAGCGAGAACTTATTTAAAAATAGTTTTGCCACGACAGTGGGAAACCATATTAAGGTACGAACCAACAAGCGATAACTGAGGCTAGAACCAGATAGTAAAAACTAGGCATTCGATTTAAAAACAGCGAAAGCGCTTTAAAAAGGATTAGAACTTAGAGATTTTCAAAAAGTAACTTTAACCCCGAACGGGATAGCGACAGCATACGTTCTGCCTTAGAGTTGCGACTAGCGTCAACAACCATCATGAGACAAAAGTCTTTAGATCACTATTTTCTTCTTAAACTAAGTTTGAAAACACTTAATACGCCAGTAATTTGTCGAATCCCCGAAGAACAAAATTATTGCATATCGATTTATAAATTCATACCTTAAGTAAAAGCTTTAGTTCCCTTTAGTTTACGCATCTATTCTGCTATTATTCAACTTGAAACCAAACTGACCTAGCTAAACACCGTAACACCCGATAATACTAGATTGATTACGAGTCTCTGTGGGATCGATATCTATTATTACTACGCGATAGACTGTGCACTTGCAGTTAGATTTGTTAGACATAGAAAGTCGCGATCAATCATTCGTTAAAATTTTCAAAGGTGTCAATTTTAATTTTCATAATGTAGACCCATAATCTTTTAGAATAATCATAAATAATCTAGAGGAAATAGAATTCAATCCCATAAGTTGTCAGCCTTGCCAAACCATGGATCTGTTACCACTTATTGCGAGGTCCAGGAAAGTCAAGAGCACCAATGGCCACCCAATTCTCTATGACCACAAGAGAGGGGGACACCACATATCAACCAAAAACCTTAAGACATTTGGTGGATATGTGGTTTTAAGGTGATCTCATGGATCCTGAATGTTTTGTCCATTGACACTTCCAGTGCTCTCTACACTCCCCCCACAAGTAGTATCAGAGCCATAGTTAGGCTCGATGGGGGAGAAGAAGTTAGATCCTAGTATGGATATAGGATAGTGATGTAGGTGACTCACATTTGTTGGGGATTATTGGGATTCAAGTGTGAGCGAATAAGTATCCTATCGACTAGGACTATAGGAAACGTATGGTATGTAAGAAAGGTGACTCATACCCCTATTGCCTTAATATTTTTGGTGCATATTAGGCATTAAGGTCTCTTTAATCCTGAACATTTTTCCCATTGACATTTTCGACGTTATGCAGACTCTTTCATAAGTAGTATCATAGCCATGGTTAGGCTCGATATGGGACGAAAAGGGATCCTTATATGGATCAAGGATAATGATGTAGGTTACTCACACTTGTGGATAAAATTGTTAAGATTCAAGTGTGAATGGAGGAAATATTTGATATATAAGATAAAAGACTCATACTCTCATTGCCTTAAGAATTGGATGTATATGTCGTATCATGGTCTCTTGAATCCTGAATGTTTAACCCATTGACACTTTTGAGGCTCCCCAGACTCCCCAATAAATTGTATCAGAGACATGGTTCGACTTGGTGGGAGAGAGATAGATCCAATGTTGGGACTCACACTTGTAGGGGAGATTGTTGTGCACAAGTGTGAGTGGTTAGGTCCCAGATCGCCTATGAATGGGTAGAATGATGGAATTATAAGAGATAAAACTCATGCGTCATGAGCACCACTTATTGTGAAATTGATAGAACAATTAAAAGGACTTTAGAAAAATTATTCAAAATTCAATCACATAAAAAAATTTGATGTGTAGGATAAAGAACAATGACAATCAGACATATAGCCTCAAACAATACAAATAATAATAAACTAGAATACAAAAATTTGTTTACTCAGTTTGATCAAATCGATCCACGCCCAAAGAAAAGAGCAACTCTTTAATTCATTATATTTCAAAAATTGTTATAAAATATTACAATATAAGTTTAAAAAAAAAAAAATAGTCATTAGAGTTCTCAAGAAGACTATATTTACTACTCAAGTGTTTTTCAATCTCTCAAATTTTCAACATAAAAATCACACAAACTCAAAATATTTAAAGTGTTTGCCAATGCATAACCCAAAAAAATATCAAATCCTAAGAAATTTTACCTTTTGCTTCCTACTAAATTTTTTACCATATACTTCTACAACTTGTATTACAACAAAATGAAAAAAATTCTTATTTATACCTATCAGACTCAAATCCAAAACTATATCAATATCAAAAAAAATTTCTTACACAGATTTTAAAGCATATTACAAAACAAATAAATGAATCTACTTATAAAAAAAACATAAATAAAATTGAATTACATGCTTCATAAAGAAGGTCTCAGAAATAGATAATTAGTTAGGACTAGTTATGAAGAAGAAGAAAAATGAATTCTTTACTCAGAAAATAAATCTACTTAGATTATAACAAATTGCATACTTGACAAAAGTTGTCTTAAAAACCTGACTTAACTGCTCTTAATCATTTTAGATTTCAAAAGTTTGTGTACAAAATAACAGGAAGATCTAGCTAGACTCTCCAAGGAATCTCCTTCTAGAAATTATTACTGATAAAGAAGGTGCCCTTGAAGATTTCTTTGATATTGTTGACTTTGGAGTGCACAAACCAAAGCTCTTGCAAGATTTCACTTTATTTCTGTAATTTGGTTTCTCTTTCTTAGGAAGATCTTCTATGCTTTCCACCCTTGCTAAAGAACCAAAAGACTGTGCTTTCCCTTGATAAAACATAGACAATCCTCTCCTGCAAATATCATAAAAAATTTAATTAAAAAATAGTAAATAAAAGAAAGCATGCATTATGATTCATGATTCATTTATGAGTTTGCTTACTTTATGGGAAGATGGTTCATGAGTTCTGATAATTCATATAAAGGGCCATTTAAATTTGATGAAGATGAAGATGATAAACTAGAAGTTGAAGATGATGAAACTTCTTGATCATCATCATCCATCTCTGATGAAGAAAAATATGAACACATTGAATCTTCTGTCAAAGAGCCATTGGAAATTGAATCAGTTACATCATCATCATCCTTATCAACCCAATAGGTTTTACTTTTTCCATCCATGATTGCTTGTAATGAATTAAGTTTAACAGATAAAATGAGATTTGGATGATACATATGAGTTGGATTTAGATAAATATGAAGTTACTAATGGAATTAAATTTTGGTCACAGTCATAGCACGTTATATATGGTGTGAAATAAATGGCTAAGATAGATAATAGTAGAGGATAAGAAGAAACTACAACATGCTGAGTCACACTTATATTAACTTTTTAGTTTTGGTAACACAAATTGTGGACCCTACCATTTTGTTAACTAATAACTGTATGCTGCGTAAAGCCATAACAGGTAAGTGTGTATTTCAATTCCACAAGCTAATTATCTATCATAAATTTTAATCATAAAGAAAATATAATAAAAATGGAAGGATAAGTTTAATATATTTCAGGTATAAAGTGTATTTATAGTAATTGATTTCAGTCCTTTACTTTGAGAACAAATAGTTAAAATTATGTTTCGTTGAGTCACTTGGATGTAAGAATATCATATCGCATATCATATATTTGAACATAATTGTTAGATGTTAAAACAAGTTTGACTTTTATTTTAGTTATTAATAAAATAATATCAACGGATGAACGAATAGTATAAAACTTTTTCTACGGACAGTGTATAATAATTAATCTTTTTATTTTCCTATATTTAGATCATGCCGCCAAGAAGAATGTGAGGTAGAGGAGTTCGTGTAGTTGAAGCGTTTGAGGAAAGTTTTGCATCCTTAGGAGTTAAGAGTCAAGGTAGAACGAGGCAAGTTCTTGCTGGCCAGAATATGCGTGGACGTCGTGGTCGTGCTAAGGGAGCTAGGTTAGAATTTCCCATGGAAACAACAGCCCCACGACCAACCGGGAAAAGTGCCGATGTTGCTCATATTGTTGTGGGTTTAGCCGAGACTCGCCAATTTATTGAAATACTAGTTGGTGCAGTTTTTAGGCAAGGTGGACAACTTGCAGCTTATAGAGAAAGTGGTGATATGACTGCTTTGAGGGATTTTCTTCGACTTAAGCCACCAATATTCTATAGTTCAAACCTTTCTGAGGATCCAAATGAGTTTGTCGATGAGGTAGAAAGATATTGTAGAGCTTTAGGATGTTCAAGTCAAAAGACAATATAATTGGTTATCCTTTCATTATACATGGCAACATGTTATCACCAAAGGCCTTTTACAACTATTATGCATTGGTTGACAATAAATGATAAAAGTATTCCATCATTTACAATAGGTATATGATCGGTCACCATTTCTATATTGTTTCCCACACTTATTCGACATCAAATCCACGAATCGGTAATGTTTATGTTAGTCTTTTTTATTGTTTTTGAATAATATTTACTATCTTTATGTTTTTCTCGGGTCGTATGTTTTTCTAGTGATTTTGTTATAGTGCATTTTTCGCCTTTGGGTATTGGTCTTGATGATTTCAGGTCCATACGGAGAAAGGCAAAAGACTCGGGCGAAGAAATAGGAGATTTAGGAAAAGTCAGAGGAGTTTTTCAAGCATTGAAGTGGCCTGACACGACCACCCGTGTCACCTGACACGGCCCGTGTCAGGAGAGGATCCATGAGGCAGTGTTGAAGGAGAAAGCAGGGGGCTGACACGGGTGCCCGTGTCAGCTGACACGTCCCGTGTTAGCAAGTCTGACACAATGATTTATTTGATCAGTGGAATAGGGAGTCAACATGGCTGCATGTGTCAGCTGACACGGCCCGTGTTGGTTTGGGCATGTCATCCCCTAATTTCCTATCATATTTGATTATTTTGATCCCTGAGGGTGTTTTCGGAATTTCCTGACTTCTGTATTGGATCTGTTAGTATTTAAGACACGTTTGAACAAAGAAAAAAGGAATTTTTGCACTTTTGGACAAGAGAAGAATTTGACGAGAAGGATTGAGCGATCAAGAACAAAGGGAGAATATAAGGTTTTCAAGCTCGGATGCGATTGAAGATTAAAACAATCCTCAACTATTCTTGTAATGTTAAATCTAATTGTTGAATTTACTTTTATTATTATGAGAGGCTAAACCACTCAATGCTAGGGGGTGTCCCTGAATTGCTATTATATTGATATTATTTCCCTATGAATGACATAAGCACTTATTTTATTAATCAAGTTTTATCGTTCAATGATTTTATAACTTTTTCAATCGGACAAATTAATTCAGTTTTACGGTTAACCTTAGGTCGGAAAAACCATTGTTAACAGTTTGATCGATAATGCCTCAGTAAATATTTCCTAGGACTAGGATTACCCTGTTGCACTTGAATACTGCTAAAACTATTTTCAATACTTGATTGCAAATTGATTGTATATGGACATAGTAAATTGATTATGATTTTAAAGGTTTTCTCGCTAAGGCTTTAGGAGTAAACAAAAGTAGCAGTCAGGAACTTGATAAAAATTATGGTTGTGTTTAAGAAATAAGGATTGATATTTTTGCAAGGCAATTCATACACTGTCCCTAGTATGCCCTCATATCTTTTTAAATCTTATTCATTAGTTTGCTTTATTTTAAATATTGTCTTTTATCATATTCAAACCAAATCTTAAAACCCCAATTTACTTTTGTTTGATTGAATTCAAATTACGCTTATATTGTCTAACGCAGTCCTCGAGATCGATACTGGGGATAAATCCCTTATTTTAACTACAATTGGCAAAATAGTACACTTGCTATTTTTCTGATCCAGTGTTTGGCGTCGTTGTCGGGGACTGTCAAAATATAAGCTAAATTTTATTCAATTGAAATTTTTTTGCTCTGCGACTAAAATTTAATTTTTGTTTGTTTTTAGATTTATTTGTATTCTAACTAATATTTTGTCTAATCTATGTATGCGAGGAAAGCCCTCAGCTGAGTTTCTTTTTGATGCTGAATCTGAAAGATCACTGCACGCGAGACGCTGTCAAGCGAAGCAAGCAAGACTGGCAACATCAGAAGAAGAAATTCCGGTTCATTATGAGCATTCTAATTCAGAGTCCAACTCAGACGTAGAGACATATCCAGAAGGAGTGAAAATGGCTGGAATTCCACCAGCAGAAAGACTTCTGGGTAATTATGGAGGAGTAAATGCTCCAGCAGGTCGGTTGACCATCATGAATCAGCTGGTTAATGTAGCAAACTTCCAACTGCACCCGACAATAATCCGTCAGCTTGAAAAGAGACCTTTTACTGGAAAAATCAATGAAGATGCAAATAAGAATTTATAGAGGTTTCTTACAATGAGCACAACATTGATAATTGAGGGGCATTTGAAAGAAGCTAAAAAGTTACGAATGTTTCAATTCACTTTTTTCGAAGATGGCGAAGAGTGGTTCTATTATTTACCTGCCGGGAGTATTAATACTTAGGAGGAGATGGAGACACCTTTCTTGAATGAGTACTTTCCAGCTTCTGTTTATATCCGAAAAATATATGATATTGTGAATTTTAAACAGAAGGAAGGAGAGTCACTTGGTGATGCATATAAAAGGTTTAAGAGGTTATTGGTTGCTTGTCCCACCCATAATATGGACCAAACAGAACAAATATAGATGTTTGTAAATGGCCTCAGAATGAAGACAAAACAACCTATTGATACAGCTGTTGTGGCTCTTCCAACTTTACAACAACAATTGGTATCAAAAAGATCATTGAATCCATTACTGCAAATGAACACTTGGAATTGTATGATCGAAGTGTGAGCAAGCCTGAAGGGATAATTGATTTGAAACTTGCTAATCAAGTGGTGAAGATGGAAGATCATATCACTGCTGAAGTTGAGAGGAGACTGAAAGATATGAATATAGGTACCCAAACTGTAGCACAAGTTCAACCAGTACAAGCTGTTAGTTGTGAGATTTATGGGGGTTCTTATTTTGTTATGCATTGTATAGCCACGATTCAACAAAGTGAAGAAATTAATTTCTTGAAGCAGAACAACCCTTATTCTAATATTTACAATCCGGGCTGGAAGAATCATCCAAACTTCTCTTGGAAATACTAACAAGGGAATGCACAGAAACAAGGACCTACTCAATACCGAAACCAATCACAGCAATATCAGTACCGACCTCAACAACAGTAGCAACCATCGTATCGACAACGATATCAACAACCTCAACCATAATATCAACAACACGCTCCAAAGAAAGAAGATTGGGAAATCGCCATTGATAACATGTCCGCTCAAAGTATCTAGTTCCAAGAAGATATCATAAATAATCTGAGGAACACTAATGCTTCTATTAAGAATCTGGAGGTTCAAATGGGTTAGATAGCACAACATATAACAAATTCTCAAGCACAAGGTGACCTACCTAGTGCAACAGTGACAAATCCAAGAGATCATAAGAATGTGAATGCCGTAACAACCAGAAGTGGGAATAAGGTTGATGTGTCTGAAGAGAAATCTGAGGAAGAGGACCAATTACTTGAGGTAGATCTGGAAATCTTGGAAACCAAAATCCCTACCGAAGAAGAACAGATTCAAAAGCCGATTGTGAAGGTGTTGCGGTGAAATTTGGATGTCAAGCTATTGATTAACTTGAATCTTAATTCATTTACAACCGGTCTTTGATTTATCCGAAGGAAAGGTTAAAGACAGGAAAAACCTAAAGGGGAGAGATCTAAGGTTCGGGGGTTGGTTAAGATTAGGGAAGGTATTAGCACCCTAAACTTCCGTAGTACTCTACGGGAACCTTTTGTTTATTTTTTTTATTTGTTTCATTTTTTGCTTTAAGGGTATGTACAAAGGATTAAGGGTTTAAAAGACCTAAGGGGTTAATTCTAAGTTTACTCGGCAAGACGTCGCATCTTGTGCCTACATATCCTTACGGGAATGGAATCAGAGTAATTGTAGTTCCCCTCAAAAGGGAGGTTAGAAACGTCTTGACTGTGGTCAAGGTCTCAAGGGGAATAAACGCATCTTAAGGACACGCTTACATGGAGTCTTAAACTCCGATCTCTATGTTATAAAAAATGTTAATTAAAATTAAAATAGGGTTAAATTAGGGATTCCACGGCGG